GACAATCTGTGACCATCAATCGAACAATGCAAAACAGGCTCCCACTACCGTCAATCGATGATTCCTTATGGTTCTGGTGATTCCTCGGGACCATGGGGAGTTTGGGCTCGATGGATCGACGACGAGGTTGGCGGTCGCCAAGAGGGGTTTTAGGGAGGGGCTTAGCAGGGGGGATGAAGATCATGGAGTGAGGATGGAGTATACTAGCGTCCATTGAAGGCGGATACAACCTTGAGGGAGAGGTCGAGGGAACTCACGAGGTTGGGAACAAGGGTTTGGAGAGAGGCAAAAAGATGTTGTTGGGCAAGGTGTTGGGTCTCTATGCTAGCTTCCAGCTGTTGGCGGATCTCTTTAATGGTCTCTATGCATTTGTTTTTGGAAATAAGATAAATGAGAGGAAGAATCACATTTTTGTATTATAAATTCTGAAAATTGATGGTTTCTTATTAGACATTTGATTCAGGTTTATTATTGTTTTGGTTATTGAATTTGTTCTCTTGAATTTGAGCAGGATTTCATTTAGCCAATGACCTTTCCTATTTGCTACCGTATTACTTATCTTTTTTTTTAATAAATCCACACTTTGCAAATTTAAGAAGCATTATAAAGGATTTAGGTCGCCACTGGTGATGACTGCAAATTTAGGAAGCTAAATTTAGTTAATAATCACCGGTGACGACTGTTGGTTTCCACCGGTCGGAGAGGGAGAGAGAGTGAAAAGGGTTTGGGTCAATGTGGGCATGTGATGAGAGAGAGGAGCGGGAAGTAGAATGGAAGACATGCGGAGCTAATAACGTTTGCCCAGATAGAAGCCGGACTCAAGTGCTGCCCACTTTAACTTGTTGRCCATCACCGTTGGCCTTGACAGTGCCACGGGGCGTGTAGGATCTGGCCATGTAATGGAGTTGGGTCCACCGTTGATGGTGGAATTGATGATCATGAATTGCTTGGCATGGACGGAGTGTGGAGGGGGAAGCCACGGAACTCGAGGTTGACACCGACGAAGATACGACCATTGGATCCTAATCCGACAACTCCAACAAAGTAATTCAAAATGGTAGTCCATGGAAAGAGAGAGATTGTTCTACAGTCCTTGTTGTGGCATTCCAAGGATGGAGACAATGAATAGTGCCATTGAAATTTGGGTTGGTGTGCAAAATTTAAGAAAGGGTTATTTGGCCCCTAAAAAGAAACTTTTTGTTGTTACCACTGTTTTGTAATATATTTCTAAACGTATATGTTATTTTTGTGTTTTTTGTAAAAAGCCCAATAATTTAAACATTTTTTAATGCAAACGTCCAAGTTGAAGAGCAAAGTTAGCCTTTATAGGAAAACAATATTCCTTCGATTGTACAATAAACTTTTTATTTATTTGTTTATTTATTTTATTCAATTTAATAAAATATTATATAAACACTTATTTATTTAATAAAATTAAAATATATTATTTATTTTTATTTGTTACTTTTTTATTGGGAAAATGACGGCCCAGGGTCAGAATTTTTAGGCCAAAGTATAGTTGGGTGGATGCCAACTCGGAATTGATGCCAATTCGCAGGCGGGCATTGGTGTATAAAGTGGAAATCAAAAATCTGCATTGGGCCTATTTGTAGTTCTCCACTTCTTTATTTTATTTTTAAATTATTTATTTAGTTAGGAAGGAATAATTTACTAACAAACTATAATTATTAGCAAAAAGGTAACTAGATTAGGGCTATCAATGGATTGGATCTACCTATACCTATTCATGGGCCGAGTAGCCCAACGGGCTGGCCTGACCTGACCCATTATTAAGTCGAGCTTGGTAATAATTTTAGGCCCATGGGCCCGGACTCAAGCCTAATGCATCGGGCCCGATTTTCTTTTTCGGGCTGGGCTCAGGCCTAAAGCACCAATCCCGACTTTTTTCGGGCTAGGTTCAAGCTTTCTCAAAAAAGCCCAGCCCGAGCTTGAACTTGACTTGATACTATATATTAAATAATAAAAATATATTTTATTTAATATATATATATACTATTTTTTCTTTGTTCATCTTCTCTTTCTTTTTCAAATAATAGTGAGATGTTTATTATTTTTGACTTTTGAAGGTTTTTAATATAACAAAACACTTTTTATTTGAATAAGAAAAGAAAAAAATTTCTGGCCAGGCTCGGGCTTAGCAAATGTAACAGCATATGCTAAAAAATCTGTAACAGCAGATGTTAAAAAATCTTCTCTTTGTCATCTTTCTACTATTGTCCATGACAATAATTTGAAAACCAATAATCTGTAACAGTAGATGTTAAAAAATATACTCCTCATCAACATTATTTCTACAAAATACAATTTTTAGGATAAATCAGTGATTCTCCAAATCCATCAAAATTAGAGTGCCCATTTGGGAGGGGTTTCACGCAGCAGTTTCTAGCATAACCAAGGTTCAAAGTATTGACACGATACGCCTGATACGGGGCATACCGTATCATATCTTTTAGATTAAGATACGAGATACGGTAGTAATTCGTATGTAATGTATCTTTTCACCCATATCGGTACCGTATCGACACGATATGGTGCTGTATCGACCATTTCGGTTTCTTATTGATCGATACGCCACCAATACGGGGGCATATCAACCAATACGGGGCGAAAATGATACGAGTAGAAGATAAAGTTTTTGAACTCACGAAAGAAGGCTTCTTTCTCCCGAAAAAAGCCTTCTCTCCCTCCCAAACCACTCCAAACCTCTCACATACTTGTCTACATTGCTAGATCTGCAAAAAAAAAAAAAAACAAAAACAACAACAACAAAAACGCATCAAACTTGAAGATTTGAGAATATTTTTGAAGTATTGAAAAATATTGCAAAAACAGGTGAGTTTTTCAAATTATTTTCACCTAATCTCTTTGATTTGTTGTTTATTTCTTGATTCAATGCTTGGAAATGCTCTAAACCTACCTGATCTACATTTCCCTTGTCAAAAATCACATTTTTTTAATTATATGTGTTGATCTATGGATTTTTATACAGAAATATGGAAAAATAAAAATAAAGAAAAAAATTTAAAAAAATTGTTTGCTTTTTTATTTGAATGTAAGCTCTTAATATGTTAGAAACCTATGGGTGATCTACCATATCCATATAAGATTTGAAATTTTCTATGTAATATTTTTTTTTATTTTTTTGTAACTTTTGGAAATAAAAAATAAATATTAAATTATTATTTTTTATTATGATTTGTCCATAAACACTGAATGTATTGTAGACCTATGGTCATCTATCATATCCACAGATCATTTGGCATTTTGGCATTTATTCTTTAAATATATGATTTTTTTGAATTTTTTTATAATTTTCAGAATTAAAAATAAATATTAATTAATTATTTTTTAATATGATTTGTCCATAAACAGTGAATRTATTCTTAATATATGGCTGAYCTATCATATCCATGTATTATTTGACATTTATCATTCAAATATGATTTTTTGAATTTTCTTTTGTAATTCTCAGAATTAAAAATAAATATTAATTAATTGTTTTTTAATATGATTTTTCCATAAACACTGAATATATTCTTAATACATGGCTGATCTATCATATCCATAGATTATTTGACATTTATCATTCAAGTATGATTTTTTTGAATTTGTTTTGTAATTTCCAGAATTAAAAATAAATATTAATTAATTATTTTTTAATATTATTTGTCCATAAACACTGAATATAATGTTCATATATGGCTGATCTATCATATCCCTGTATTATTTGACATTTATCATTCAAATATGATTTTTTGAATTTTCTTTTGTAATTTTCGGAATTAAAAATAAATATTAATAAATTATTTTTTTAATATGATTTTTCCATAAACACTGAATATATTCTTAATATATGGCTGATCTATCATATCCATAGATTATTTGACATTTATCATTCATTTTTCTGAATTTTTTGTAATTTTCATAATTAAAAATAAATATTAGATAATTATTTTTTAATATGATTTGTCCATAAACACTGAATATATTCTTAATATATGGATGATCTATCATATCCATAGATTATATATCATTCAAATATGATTTTTTGATTTTTTTTTCATAATTTTTAGAATTAAAAATAAATAATATTTAATTATATTTTGTTATGATATAGCCCTACAGACTGAACATATTCTTAATATATGGCTGATCTATCATAGACATAGATTATTTGACATTTATCATTCAAATATGATTTTTTTTTATAATTTTTAGAATTAAAAATAAATAATATTTAATTATATTTTACTATAATATAGCCCTAAGGACTGAGCATATTCTTATTATATGGCTTATCTATAATATCCATAGATTATTTGACATTTATCATTCAAATATGATTTTTTTTTATTTTTTTGTAATTTTCAGAATTAAAAATAAATAATATTTATTATATTTTGTTATGATATAGCCCTAATGACTGAATATATTCTAATATATGGTTGATTTATCATATCCATTGATCATTTGACATTTATCATTCAAATATAATTTTTTTTGGAATTTTCTTTTGTAATTTTTAGAATTAAAAATAAATAATATTTAATTATATTTTGTTATGATATAGCCTAAGGATGAATATATTCTTAATATATGACTGATCTATCAGTTTTAAAATTAAAAATGAATATTAATTATTTATCTTTTATTGTAATTTTTTCATAAACACTGAATATGTTCTTAATATATGGCTAATTTATCATTTTCATGGATCATTTGTTTTTTTATTTAAATTTGAATAATAATTTGGAAATGTGGATCATGAATAAATATGACATTTATATTGAATAAATATGAATATGATTATGAAGCATTCTCTAATTTATTTTTATGGTTTACATGAATTATGAAGGGCTCTGTACCGAGTATTTGATATGGCGCCTAAATGGGAAGAAGACCTAGATATTGGATGGAGATATGGTACTAGAGTAAATAATAATAGACTTTATACCAAATGTAATTTTTATGGGCAAATTATGAAAGGCGGTGGTATAACCCGTCTTAAACATCACTTGGCTAGAGGGTATCCAAATGTTTTTGATTGTCCAAAGCGCCCAATGGAAATTTCCAAGGCAATGAAAGAACATTTCAAAGAACAAGAAATGTTGAAGAAGCAAAAACAAAGAAAGAAAAAAATGATAGGAAGAACAGTGAGGTCCAGAAGGGATGATGAGGGTGAGGAAGAAGAAGACAATGATGATGATGAAAGGTCTGAATATGTTAACATTGATGATGATGATGATGAAAGGTCTGAATATGTTAACATTGATGATGATGATGATGATGATGATGATGATGATGCAGAGCAAAAGGCATTCAATATGAGTAGACATGCATCATGAGCTTATCAATGGGAACGAGAACAAATACAAAGATTCCACAGCACTAGGCCCCAATTTAGAGAATCACAACACCAAGAGGGGGGTTTTTCACAACCACAATTATCTAAAAAAAAGTGGTATCTTTCGAGCAAAGAGTTGGAAATAAGCATTTAACATATTTAAGCCCTCTAAGTCCAAATAGTGACACTCCTAATATAGAAGAGACAGACGGATTTTTGTATAGAGACGGAGATGCTGGGCCAAAAAAATTAAGGAGTGTTATGACCATGGATCTGGAAATGATAATAGAAGAGTTGTTTCAAAGTTTTTTTCTATACAATCATATTCCTACAAATGCAACAACCTCTCCATATTATAAAATCATGATAGATGAAATTGCAAAAGCAAGAAAAGATGTATGCAGGCCTACACCTTATGAAATTATGGAGAGGTTCTTATATGAGGAAGTTGAAGAGCTGAAAAGCCATTTCAAAACATTCTTCCAAAAAGCTGAAATATATGGACTCCTTATTATGTGTGATGGTTCGACAGGACCAACTAAATTGTCGATCATCAATTTTATGATGTATTGTAATGGACAAACAATGTTTAATAAATCTATTAATGCATGTAGTGATCGACATAATGCACAGTATTTGTTTAATTTGATGAATGCAGTGGTTGATGAAGTTGGTGCAGAAAATGTTGTACAAATTGTGACTGATAATGGAAGTGCTTATAAAGTAGCTGGCAAAATGTTAAAACAAAAAAGAAAGCACTTGTATTGGACACCGTGTGCAACTCATTGCCTTGATTTAATGTTCCAAGACATTGCTAAAGTTTTTATGGTCTCCAAAGTGATTGAAAGGGGAAAAACGATTACCAATTCCATTTATAATCACTCAATTGTTCTCAACTTGATGAGGAGTTTCACAAATAATAGAGAGTTAATATATTCAAGGCCAACTTGCTTTGCTACTCATTATATTGCTCTTGAAAGTCTAAATTCTCAAATGACAGCATTGAGATGCATGATTGACTCAGATGAATGAGAATCACTACCACAAGCAAAAACAAAAAAGGGAGAAGAAATTGAGAAAATTATCAATGACAATAACTTTTGGAAATTAGTTCAACAATATGCTTTGATGACTGAGCCCCTTGTAAAAATGCTTTGAATTGTTGATGGTGAAAAAAATAGCAACAATGGGAATTGTATATGAGGCAATGCATAGAGTGAAGAAGATGATTGAAGAGAAATTTCCAAATTCAAATAAACACATCCTGGACATTACAAACAAGAGATGGAACGCACAATTCGTTCGCCATTTGCATAAAGTAGGTATTTTTTACTCTATTTAACTATATCATTAATTTCCAATATTTTATACTTTTATGCTAATTGCTAAATGAATTTTTAAGATGTCAATTAACAACATTATTTTTTTCCTTAAATTCAATATATTATTTAAATCCAGCTTTTCAGTATGATCATGATCTTACTGTAAATGAGGATTTATTGTCATCTTTGAAAAAAACCATTACAAGATTGGAGCTAGATGAAACTAGAGCTGCCCTTGCCTTACAAGAGGTAAAGTGTAATTGTGTAAGTTGATAAATTATATAATAAATATATTTTGATAATATGATACTAATATCTGTTATTTTCAATTTAGGAAAAAATATTCCGTGAAGCATTAAGTGGCTTTGCAAATCTTATGGTCATTAAAGCAAGAGCAAGAATAAGAACTGACCCAGGTAAATTAAAATTTTAATATATTCTTAGTTTCTTTATTCTTTAATGTTAATTATCAATTTGTTAACTAATTAATTTTATTTTTAATATTATATATTTTATATTTATATTAAAATGTATATATATGTTTTTTATTTTTGTTTTTTAAAGTTGAATGGTGGTTGATTTATGGCCAAGATGCTTTGCATCTTCGTAAAATAGCAATAAGGGTATTATCACAAACAACTTCTTTAGTGGTTGTGAACGAAATTGGAGTACCTTCGACCCTTATTCATACAAAGCAGAGGACTTGTCTATCCTATAACACTTCGGAGAAGTTGGTATATGTCCACTATAACATGAGATTGAGAGTTAAACACCCCATTAGAAATAGAAGGCATCGGAAGGCTACTTCAACCCAATTGATATTGATGATATATATGATAAAGAAGATCTAGTGATATCTTGGTTGGAAGATAAAGACATAAAAGCAATGGTCTTAGATGAATCAGGTAATCCTCCAAGACCTGATTCCTATATTACAAATCAAATGGGGATAAATGTTGATGATTGGGTCAGAGAACAGACAGGCAGTGGTGGGACTAGTAATGGTAATGAGTCTACTAATGATGATTGTGGTGAATATGATAGAGGTAGCTATGATAGAACAAATGGTCATAATGAAGGTGATGCTACTAGTAGTTTTGTCAAATATATACCACCTATGGATGATTCAATGCCACCTAGTCAAGAGTAATACCGTCCAAGTCGTAGAGACATGCAATTAATGGATAGTTCAAATTATGGTTCTTATGGTTTTGGAAGATCAGATGAATGAAACCAACATTATGGAAGACCCATGGAAAGTAATTTGATGATACTTGGACTAAGTAGGATGAGTTTGAGTTCAACTTTTAATTATGGCTACGACTCTTCTCAGTATGGATATGAGTCTCATATGGCACAGGTCATACAGCTACAACACCTAGAACTACAATGAGTTTTTGGCTTTTTGGTGGTTTTGCTTAATGATACAGATCAAATTATTAGACTCAATCTTGTTATCAACAATGTTGTACTAGAGCAAGTTGAGCATTTCAAAGAGATATATACAACATCATACTCTAATAGAATGAGTTGGGGCGAATATTGTGCTTTGGTAAGAAATCAACACAATGTAGATATAAGCAATTATGAGCCTGCAAGAAACTCTCTATGGTACTGAATTATTGATTGTCATCACATAATTTTAGATATATTAGTAAATAATTTATTAAATAATTAATTTTTATTATGATTTTAATATTTATTTATTAATTGTTTTTGAATTGTATGTTATATAGGTTATTAACAGACATCATCATTCATGAAGGTATGTTTTACACTTCTATTACTAAATGTTTTTTCTTTAATTTTAGACAATATTTTGTGTTTTGAATTGAATTATTAAATTTTGACGTGATTATAATTTTAATAAACATTGTTTAGGTGTTCACATATGTTGAGTACTTGATTATGATACGATTATTTGTAAATTCTATTAAAATATATTAATTTAATGTATATATCTTATTAAAGCCTTATATTTAGTGTTATTGGTGTATTTTTATGTTATATTGAAGTTTTTATAGTGTTTCTATGCTTATCTTTGCATATCTATGCGTATCTTAATTTTTCTCCGATACGCATGCGTATCCAAAGCGTATCTCGATACATATCATAAAATTGTCTTCCTACATGCTAAGAGTATCCGATACTTTGAACCTTGAGCATCACAAGGTTGGCCGCACAAGTTGTAAAACTATGTTTGGTGAAAATCCCGAAAAGACAAGAAATGATGTAATTAAGCAGAAAATTTGATTTACGGGTGAAGCTTGTTTTGGTAGTGTTGCAGCATAGGGTGGGTCGTGGCCTCGAGGGCAACAAAGCAATCGGCTTCCGAGTCAAGAGCTGATAGATGAGTCTGAGGTCTACTGTGGCCGAGGGTGGTAGGTCAAACCTGTGAAGGAATAGAGAACGTCATAGGCCCCGGGTGCAAATGCAAGGCGAAGACTTCGATGGTCAAATTAATACTGGTTAGGCCGAAGGTGGAAGAAAGGTAGTTCTTAGCTATGGAGAGTTTGGATCCTTAACTTGGGGGGTCACCCCCTATTTATAACCGAGGCCACTAGAAGGTAGGTGGATGTGGATGGCCAAGATGCGGTCCAATCTCGAGGGTGCTACAGTCATGAGGCCGTTGTGCGCGGCCACGCTATTGGCTCCATGTCGCGCACCAGCCTCTGCTCTGTGCACGCTCCCCCATTGGGTCCTTTCTGCGCGCCGCGTTCCTCCACATGTGCCCGTGCCATGGTGGAGGTCTATGCTTGGCCTAAGAGAGTGTGTTGTCTTCTCCGGGAGGCACTGATGGGACTTCTTCAGTGAGGATACACTTAGTATTTGATTGTGGTGGCGTCAACTTGGTCTTCACTCTTACTTCCGAGGACTGTTTTCATCGTGCGGAGGCCTTAGCCTTGACTTCTGCAAGTTCAGTTCCGTGCTGGATGCGGGTGTGAGGCTGCCCCCTGCCCTGTACGCTGTTAGGGCCATGGCGAACCCCTGCAAGGCATTGGCCTCGACGGATGACTGTAGAGGATGATACTTGGTGATGGGTGGTCGTGTGTTGGCCGTACGTAGGATAGGTATGACCTGTGAACCGTGTGGGGGACAGATTCCCGCACCGGGGGCAGGCCGTATGCACCACGGGTGCCCCCAACTGATAGGTCAGGACCGTGATCGAGATGGCTCCTGGTCAGGGCCATATGCGGGACAGGTCTCTGTGCCGTGTCCATATGCGAGATGGGTGCTAGGATGGCTCTACACTGCTTCCGGTTTAGGGTCGTTGGGCAAACCGGTCCATGCAGTGAGTAGGCCGACTGGCCCAGCCCATGACCTAGTCCATGGTGTTCTGCCTTATTTGTATTCTGAGCATTTGTAAATTAAGAAAATGACCTAGTCCGGCTGGCCCAGCCCATGGTCACCCCTACTATGAGGGACAGGCTACCCCTGTTGTGTAGTAGTTTGAAGCAAAATAAATGAATGGAAGAAAATTGCCTTTCGGGCTTCAACGGAAAAAAAAAATCTTTGAACAAAATAAACAAAAAAATGGCTTTGATATTGTATTTCATGAACAAAATGAATGAGAAATTATTTGTATGGAACTTAAAATGAATGGCTTTGATATTGTATTGCATCACTGCTTCCTGATCAAATTCGAATCGCATTCAAATTCAGACAATTGGTTTTTAATATTTGTTTCCCATTTGGTATTGTATATTAACGGGGAATTGGGGCTTAAAACAGAGCAGAGCAGAGTACATATAAGGTCCACAGGTCCAAAGTCTCTGTATTTACTATTTAGAGTGATGCAGAGTGACCAAGGGAGAGTTCTACTTCCTCTTTTCCCTCTTGATTTTTGTTCTTTTCATACATATTGCTCATAATTCATCGTATATCACTACTGTTTCCTCCCTTCCCTTTCTCTTATTGGTGCAAGGGGCCAGACAATGGGGTGAAGTTCACCCTCTAGAGTTTATTTGTCAAATTACATGTACCATGTCAACAAAAAGAAGCCAACAGTCAACTTTCCTTTTCCATAATTTTACTAATTATAAATCCATCTTGGATAATACTATATAAACTATAAGCTACAATATCATTCTTCTAAGATTCTATTCATGAACTAAATATGCCAATACTAGAATATGGATCATATAACTAATGAACAAAATGGCTTATGTAAAACAGAGTTCTGGTGAAGCAGCGAATACATATTAGTACACATAAGCATGAAAACCTTGCAAGATGGATCCAAAACATTATACGGACCCTGTTAGATTGTAACAACTAAAGTTGAAAACATTTTATACCTACATCTTAGACTCTAAGTAAGATGACTAAGAGGAAGGATTGTGCAAAAATGATTGTTTGTCAAGTTGTCTCTTCAAACTGTTCTCCATGCTTACGCACCCTGTTGAACTTGTATCCCCAAGACCCACTGGTTTATCTATGATGCACTCCACTTCTTGAATGTTTTGTTGAACATGAGAATATCCTTCAAACCCCCTCAATCCCTCAAGTTCCGATGCAACCTCTTTCACTGTTGACCTTTTCTTTCCATTTAAACTCAAACATCTCTTTGCAATGTTAGAGACCTCCTGAAGTTCATATTCTTTATCATCTTTTAGGACTTCAGCATCAAGAATTTCAAAAAGATGATTCTCCATTATTGCAGTATTGAAATATGCCACTAAGTTTCTCACTTCTAATGATCTTGTAGAA